TTGAGGGACACAGAATTGTTACTGAGGGCCACAGAACCGTTACTTAGGGCCACAGAAACGTTACTTAGGGACACAGAATTGTTACTCAGGGACAGACACAGAATTGTTACTGAGGGACACAGAATTGTTACTGAGGGCCACAGAACTGTTACTGAGGGCCACAGAACTGTTACTTAGGGCCACAGAAACGTTACTTAGGGCCACAGAAACATTACTTAGGAACACAGAAACATTACTTAGGGCTACAGAAACGTTACTTAGGGCCACAGAATCGTTACTTAGGGCCACAGAAACGTTACTTAGGGACACAGAAACGTTACTTAGGGACACAGAAAGATTAATTAGGGACACAGAAACGTTACTTAGGGACACAGAATTGTTACTCAGGGACAGACACAGAATTGTTACTCAGGGACACAGAATTGTTACTCAGGGACACAGAATTGTTACTCAGGGACACAGAATTGTTACTCAGGGACACAGAATTGTTACTGAGGGACACAGAATTGTTACTGAGGGACACAGAATTGTTACTGAGGGACACAGAACCGTTACTTAGGGCCACAGAAACGTTACTTAGGGACACAGAATTGTTACTCAGGAACAGACACAGAATTGTTACTCAGGGACACAGAATTGTTACTGAGGGACACAGAATTGTTACTGAGGGACACAGAATTGTTACTCAGGGACACAGAATTGTTACTCAGGGACACAGAATTGTTACTACTGAGGGACACAGAATGTTTACTGAGGGACACAGAATTGTTACTGAGGGACTGACAGGACACTGAGGGACACAGAATTGTTACTCAGGGACACAGAATTGTTACTCGGGGACAGACACACAGAATTGTTACTGAGGGACACAAATTGTTACTGAGGGACACAGGATTGTTACTGAGGGACACAGAATTGTTACTGAGGGACACAGAATTGTTACTCAGGGACACAGAAATTGTTACTGAGGGACACAGAATTGTTACTCAGGGACACAGAATTGTTACTCAGGGACACAGAATTGAATTTACTCAGGGACACAGAATTGTTACTCTGAGGGACACAGAATTGTTACTCAGGGACAGACACAGAATTGTTACTGAGGGACACAGAATTGTTACTGAGGGACACAGAATTGTTACTGAGGGACACAGAATTGTTACTCAGGGACAGACACAGAATTGTTACTTAGGGCACAGAAACGTTACTCAGGGACACAGAAAACGTTACTCAGGGACACACAGAATTGTTACTCAGGGACAGACACAGAATTGTTACTCAGGGACACAGAATCGTTGAATTAAAGAGTATGTCAGACAACATGCAGAGGAGTGGCAGAGGAGGCAATGTTTTTCAGGAGCGAGCAGACGTGGCAGCAGAGGAAGGGGTCGAGGCAGCACACTATTCGCAGCCAGAGGCCAGTGCTCCCGGTGTCATCCAGCGGTCGTGTCTCCACCGACAACCCCCTGCCGTCATCGATTGGTTGGCTCGGTCGTCTTCCTCTTCCCAGGTCACCTCTGACACCTACAGCCAATGGTCGGTGGGTACGTCAGACACAAACCGTTAGTTGGCATGGCCCGGGACCAAGCCCACTGAAATCACGTGTCCTCTACCTGCCCCTGTCCTTTGGTGTTCCCTCACCAAGCGAAGTATTGCATGCTGTGGGCTCAGCCCCACTGTACAGTGAGGAAGAGCTAACAGAGGGCGGTCAGGAACGGGGGGAGACATCCGCCTCTTCAGCAGCCAGGCGAAGAAGTAGTGGCGAGGAGAGTGGCTCGGTAGCCGGTCTAGAGACAGGTCTGTCTCCTGACCCAGACGCAGCCGAGGGGGCTAGTAGTGAGGCGGAGACCCTACTTGATGATGAGGAGGTGATCGCACTTGGCAGCCTCCTCGTCATCAGGCTATTGCTTCCGCATCATCAGGAGAAGAGGGTGCCAGCTTGGCAGCGAGCAAAACAGTCGGTGGGTTGCCCAGGAGGCAGCAGGGTCGCAGCAGTGTCAGTGGAGGCAAACGGCCACGGAGTAGAGCACCAGCTCCACTGCAGCCTACCACCACGGCCAGTAGTGGTGCCGGTGTGCACGGAGGAAGCAGCAGTCAGCCAGTGAGGAGTATCGGGGGCAAAGTTTCCTACTCGGCGGTGTGGCAATTTTTTGTCAAGCCGCCCGAGGAAGTAAACGTAGCCGTATGTCGACTATGTGGCCAGAAAGTCAAGCGTGGCCAGGGGGCCCATGTTGGGACTACAGCGTTGCGGCAGCATATGCAGCGTCACCATTCGGTGGCCTGGGAAAACCGTGATAAAGATACGGCGGTTCTGCCCCCCAGCCCCCGCTCCATCACCCGCTCCGTTACTTGCTCCGTCACCCGACGTCAATCGCCCTCTATCAGCCAGTCAAGGCTCCAACACCTCTGCTGAGGGGAGTTGTTGCTCGTTGGCATCTTCCGCTCGTTCAGATGCTCCTTCTCCTGCTACTCCTCTTCACGGATTCCGTCAGCAGTCTTTCTTGGAATCCGTTTCCAAGAGACAACAGTTTGCGAGCACGCACCCGACGGTGCAGAAGCTGAACGTCCTCCTGTCCAAGTTGCTGGTGCTGCAGTCCCTCCCTTTCCAAGTGGTGGACTCAGCACCTTTCCGAGAAATGATGGCTTGTGCCGCGCCGCGGTGGAGAGTGCCAAGCCGGCATTTCTTCGCCAAAAAGGCAGTGCCAGCCCTGCATTCACATGTAGAAGAGATGGTGGGCCAGTCTTTGAGCATGTCGGTCTCTGCCAAAGTGCACGGCAGCGCCGACGTGTGGAGCTGTAACTACGGTCAGGGACAGTACATGTCATTTACGGCCCACTGGGTGAACGTGGTGCCGGCACAGCCGCACCAGCAACTTGGACAGGTCACGCCGCTTTTGCCTCCACGTTTGCACGTCCTTGGTCCGGCAAAGATGTCCGCCTCTACCACCTCTTCTTCCGCCGTGTCCTCAGCCGCCACCCCCCCCGTGCCAAGTCCCATTACCCGACCGGCATATCACATGTGCAGGGCGCAACGGTGTCACGCTGTGCTGCACCTGGTATGCCTTGGCGAACGTAGTCACACAGGGGAGGAACTTCTGAGTGTAATGAACAGAGAAATCGACAGATGGCTGTCTCCGCGCAAACTGAAAATCGGAACCATGTTGACCGACAACGGAAAGAACATGGTGTCTGCTCTGCGTCAAGGAAGGTTGTGCCATGCGCCATGCATGGCTCACGTGTTCAATCTGGTTGTCAAGTGGTTCCTAAAATCCACCATCCCACTGCAAGACATCCTTAAAATGTCACGTAAACTTTGCATGCATTTCAGCCATTCCTACACCGCAAAGCACACCCCCTCCTTGAGCTGCAGCGGCAGAACGGAATTCCACAGCATCGCCTGATCTGCGACGTTGCAACAAGGTGGAATTCAACCCTACACATGTTAGACCGCCTTTACGAACAGCAAAAGGCCATCACACGATTTCCTGATGTTACAAGCGGATAAAGGTACTCCCCTGTGTAACTTAGATGTCAGCCATTGGCAGCTCATGCGTGACACCTGCCGCTTGCTCAGGCCCTTTGAGGAGGCCACGCTATTCGTGAGTCGGCAGGACTATGGGATGAACGACGTCATTCCTCTGTTGCACGTCCTGGAACAAATGCTGTTAACAATGGCTGGTCAGGGTGCGCTAGACGTGGCGCACAGATCTCAACGCCACATGACCCCTGTGGGGGCAGGACAGGAAAGAGGAGGAGGTAGAGGAGGACATTTGTGCTCAGGAATTATTGAGTGAAATGGGTGGTTTTTCCACTCAGCGGACAGGAGTGGAGGAGCAGGAGCATCTGGTAGAGGAGGAGGAGGAGGAGACAGAGGACCCAGACGCACCGTGGCAGTATGCTATGGAGATGGAGGCAGGGAGTCCCTCGCATTCCTTGGCACAAATGGCCCATAGCATGCTTGCTTGCTTGCGTAGCGACAGACAGCCGAATAATAACCATCAGACAGAGGGATGACTTTTGGCTGTCCACCTTGTTGGACCCTCGCTACCGTTCAAAAATGGTGGCCTTTTTCACACCTGCTGAGAGAGAGGCCAAAATAACGTACTATAAAAAAAAACCACCTATGTAGTCAGTTGGTCTCTGCCTTTGTGCGCCAACGTCCATCCTCAGACACTGTGGGCCCTGTGCGCTCGCGTTCCGCTGCCATGGCAGCAGGGGAGGGGTGGGGTGGTAGGAGCAGTGGTAGCTCCACCAGCAGCGGCTGCCTCAGTCTGCAGTCGATGATGAGTAGCTTTCTTCACCAGCGCAGTGAGGAAACTACTAACCAGCCGCAGCAGCAGCAGCATCAGGTGGACCTGGAGCAGGACCTCAAACAACAGGCTTGGGCCTACTTGGACAGCACCCTGCCAACCGAGGTAGACAATCCCCTTGACTACTGGGCAACGAAACTTGACCTTTGGCCCCAACTAGCTGAATTTGCCCTTGAAAGGCTGTCATGCCCGGCCAGTAGCGTGGCATCGGAGCGCGTGTTTAGTGCGGCAGGAGGTATTGTAACTCCGCGGAGGACACGACTGTCCACCCAAAGTGTGGAGAGACTCACATTTGTGAAAATGAATCAGGCGTGGATTAGTCTGGATTTCAAACCACCAGTTCCTGACACAACTGACTAAATCCGCCATGAATCATGCCCCTGCCATGTGCCACTTTCAGGTCTCCTCACACTGCTGGTGTGTTCCATTTTTTGTCATAGGGTGCTGGCAGATTACGGGCCTCCCATAGCTGCTGCCAGGCCCCTAATCTGCCATGGGCCCCTGTACCCTCATGCCTCCTCATCATGCTGCTGCCAGCTGCAGTCCACAGTGTCTCATGCCATGTGCCACTTTCAGGTCTCCTCACACTGCTGGTGTGTTGAATTTTTTGACATAGGGTGCTGGCAGATTACGGGCCTCCCATAGCTGCTGCCAGGCCCCTAATCTGCCATGGGCCCCTATACCGCCTCCTCATGCTGCTGCCAGGTCCAGAGTCTGTCATGGGTCCCTGTACGGCCTCCCATTGCTGCTGTCTCCATCGCCACACTCTGCCATGTGCCACTTTTAGGTATCCTCACACACTGCTGGTGTGTTGAATTTTTTGACATAGGGTGCTGGCAGATTACGGGCCTCCCATAGCTGCTGCCAGGCCCCTAATCTGCCATGGGCCCCTGCCCGCCTCCTCATGCTGCTGCCTCCTCATGCTGCTGCCAGGTCCACAGTGTCTCCATCGCCATGCCATGTGCCACTTTCAGGTCTCCTCACACTGCTGGTGTGTTGAATTTTTTGACATAGGGTGCTGGCAGATTACGGGCCTCCCATTGCTGCTGCCAGGCCCCTAATCTGCCATGGGCCCCTATACCGCCTCCTCATGCTGCTGCCAGGTCCAGAGTCTCTCATGGGTCCCTGTACGGCCTCCCATTGCTGCTGTCTCCATCGCCACACTCTGCCATGTGCCACTTTCAGGTCTCCTCACACTGCTGGTGTGTTCAATTTTTTGACATAGGGTGCTGGCAGATTACGGGCCTCCCATAGCTGCTGCCAGGCCGCTAATCTGCCATGGGCCCCTATACCGCCTCCTCATGCTGCTGCCAAGTCCAGAGTCTGTCATGGGTCCCTGTACGGCCTCCCATTGCTGCTGTCTCCATCGCCACACTCTGCCATGTGCCACTTTCAGGTCTCCTCACACACTGCTGGTGTGTTCAATTTTTTGACATAGGGTGCTGGCAGATTACGGGCCTCCCATAGCTGCTGCCAGGCCCCTAATCTGCCATGGGCCCCTGTACCGCCTCCTCATGCTGCTGCCAGGTCCACAGTGTCTCATGCCATGTGCCACTTTCAGGTCTCCTCACACTGCTGGTGTGTTGAATTTTTTGACATAGGGTGCTGGCAGATTACGGGCCTCCCATTGCTGCTGCCAGGCCCGTAATCTGCCATGGGCCCCCGTACCGACTCCTCATGCTGTGACGTTGCAACAAGGTGGAATTCAACCCTACATATGTTAGACCGCCTTTACGAACAGCGAAAGGCCATCACCGATTTCCTGATGTTAAAAGCGGATAAAGGTACTCCCTGTGTAACTTCGATGTCAGCCATTGGCAGCAGCTCATGCGTGACACCTGCCGCTTGCTCAGGCCCTTTGAGGAGGCCACGCTATTCGTGAGTCGGCAGGACTATGGGATGAACGACGTCATTCCTCTGTTGCACGTCCTGGAACAAATGCTGTTAACAATGGCTGGTCAGGGTGCGGTAGACGTGGCGCACAGATCTCAACGCCACATGACCCCTGTGGGGGCAGGACAGGAAGAAGAGGAGGAGGTAGAGGAGGACATTGGTGCTCAGGAATTATTGAGTGAAATGGGTGGTTTTTTTCCACTCAGCGGACAGGAGTGGAGGAGCAGGAGCATCTAGAGGAGGAGGAGGAGACAGAGGACCCAGACGCACCACCGGGCAGTATGCTGTGGAGATGGAGGCAGGGAGTCCCTCGCATTCCTTGGCACAAATGGCCCATAGCATGCTCGGTTGCTTGCGTAGCGACAGCCGAATAATAACCATCAGACAGAGGGATGACTTTTGGCTGTCCACCTTGTTGGACCCTCGCTACCGTTCAAAAATGGTGGCCTTTTTCACACCTGCTGAGAGGGAGGCCAAAATAACGTACTATAAAAAAGCACCTATGTAGTCAGCTGGTCTCTGCCTGTCTGCGCCAACGTCCATCCTCAGACACTGTGGGCCCTGTGCGCTCGCGTTCCGCTGCCATGGCAGCAGGGGAGGGGTGGGGTGGTAGGAGCAGTGGCAGCTCCACCAGCAGCGGCTGCCTCAGTCTGCAGTCGATGATGAGTAGCTTTCTTCACCAGTGCAGTGAGGAAACTACTAACCAGCCGCAGGAGCAGCAGCAGCAGCATCAGGTGGACCTGGAGCAGGACCTTAAACAACAGGCTTAGGCCTACTTGGACAGCACCCTGCCAACCGAGGTAGACAATCCCCTTGACTACTGGGCAACGAAACTTGACCTTTGGCCCCAACTAGCTGAATTTGCCCTTGAAAGGCTGTCATGCCGGCCAGTAGCGTGGCATCGGAGCGCGTGTTTAGTGCGGCAGGAGCTATTGTAACTCCGCGGAGGACACGACTGTCCACCCAAAGTGTGGAGAGACTCACGTTTGTGAAAATGAATCGGGCGTGGATTAGTCTGGATTTCAAACCACCAGTTCCTGACACAACTGACTAAATCCGCCATGAATCATGCCCCTGCCATGTGCCACTTTCAGGTCTCCTCACACTGCTGGTGTGTTTCCATTTTTTGTCATAGGGTGCTGGCAGATTACGGGCCTCCCATAGCTGCTGCCAGGCCCCTAATCTGCCATGGGCCCCTATATACCGCCTCCTCATGCTGCTGCCAGGTCCAGAGTCTGTCATGGGTCCCTGTACGGCCTCCCATTGCTGCTGTCTCCATCACCACACTCTGCCATGTGCCACTTTCAGGTCTCCTCACACTGCTGGTGTGTTCCATTTTTTGTCATAGGGTGCTGGCAGATTACGGGCCTCCCATAGCTGCTGCCAGGCCCCTAATCTGCCATGGGCCCCCGTACCGACTCCTCATGCTGCTGCCAGGCCCCTAATCTGCCATGGGCCCCCGTACCGACTCCTCATGCTGCTGCCAGGCCCGTAATCTGTCATGGGCCCCTGTTGTCGCTTGTTGGCATATTCCGCTCGTTCAGATGCTCCTTCTCCTGCTACTCCTCTTCACGGATTCCGTCAGCAGTCTTTCTTGGAATCCGTTTCCAAGAGACAACAGTTTGCGAGCACGCACCCGACGGTGCAGAAGCTGAACGTCCTCCTGTCCAAGTTGCTGCTGCCAGGCTCGTAATCTGTCATGCGCCCCTGTACCGCCTCCTCATGCTGCTGCCAGGTCCAGAGTGTGTCATGGGCCCCCGTACCGACTCCTCATGCTGCTGCCAGGCCCGTAATCTGTCATGGGCCCCTGTACCGCCTCCCCATGCTGCTGCCAGGTCCAGAGTGTGTCATGGGTCCCTGTACGGCCTCCCATTGCTGCTGCCAGGCCCGTAATCTGCCATGGGCCCCCGTACCGACTCCTCATGCTGCTGCCAGGCCCGTAATCTGTCATGGGCCCCTGTACCGCCTCCCCATGCTGCTGCCAGGTCCAGAGTGTGTCATGGGTCCCTGTACGGCCTCCCATTGCTGCTGTCTCCATCGCCACACTCTGCCATGTGCCACTTTCAGGTCTCCTCACACTGCTGGTGGTTTCCATTTTTGTCATAGGGTGCTGTATGGCCTCCCATTGCTGCTGCCTCCACCGCCACACTGTGGCTCCACACTCTGGTTTTGGCCCCGTGACTGCCCAAATGAGTGAAGTGTGCGGTGATTCTAAGATCGACGGCACTCATCTGCATGTCATACTGACTGACAGTATTATTTCTCTTCCCCAGCAGACTCCAAGGGCATTTAAATTAAAGGTACAGTGTTCTGCACTAATATAAAGGCTCTCTGAAGCCTAGAAACCCTTTTATAAGTTAAATTCGCAGCGCATATATATTCGACTCGAATCGAAATTTTCCCACGAATTCGCCGAATCAGTCGAATCGAATTTTTGAATACTTCGCTCATCTCTAATTGTAAGCTCCCAGGATCAGCCCCTCCCTCTTAGATTGTAAGCTCCCAGGATCAGCCCCTCCTTCTTAGATTGTAAGCTCCCAGGATCAGCCCCTCCCTCTTAGATTGTAAACTCCCAGGATCAGCCCCTCCCTCTTAGATTGTAAACTCCCAGGATCAGCCCCTCCCTCTTAGATTGTAAGCTCCCAGGATCAGCCCGTTCCTCTTAGATTGTAAGCTCCCAGGATCAGCCCCTCCCTCTTAGATTGTAAGCTCCCAGGATCAGGCCTCTCCCTCTTAGATTGTAAACTCCCAGGAACAGCCCCTCCCTCTTAGATTGTAAGCTCCTAGGATCAACCCCTCCCTCTTAGATTGTAAGCTCCCAGGATCAGCCCCTCCCTCTTAGATTGTAAACTCCCAGGATCAGCCCGTTCCTCTTAGATTGTAAGCTCCCAGGATCAGCCCCTCCCTCTTAGATTGTAAACTCCCAGAAACAGCCCCTCCCTCTTAGATTGTAAACTCCCAGGATCAGCCCCTCCCTCCTAGATTGTAAACTTCCAGGATCAGCCCCTCCCTCTTAGATTGTAAACTCCCAGGATCAGCCCCTCCCCCTCAGATTGTAAGCTCCCAGGATCAGCCCCTCCCTCTTAGATTGTAAACTTCCAGGATCAGCCCCTCCCTCTTAGATTGTAAACTCCCAGAATCAGCCCCTCCCTCTTAGATTGTAAACTTCCAGGATCAGCCCCTCCCTCTTAGATTGTAAACTTCCAGGATCAGCCCCTCCCTCTTAGATTGTAAGCTCCCAGGATCAGGCCCTCCCTCTTAGATTGTAAGCTCCCAGGATCAGCCCCTCCCTCTTAGATTGTAAACTCCCAGGAACAGCCCCTCCCTCTTAGATTGTAAGCTCCTAGGATCAACCCCTCCCTCTAGATTGTAAGCTCCCAGGATCAGGCCTCTCCCTCTTAGATTGTAAACTCCCAGGATCAGCCCCTCCCTCTTAGATTGTAAGCTCCCAGGATCAGCCCCTCCCTCTTAGATTGTAAACTCCCAGGAACAGCCCCTCCCTCTTAGATTGTAAGCTCCTAGGATCAGGCCCTCCTAACCCTCTTGTATTGATCTGTATTGTTGCTGTATTGTCTCCCGTTATATTGTACAGCGCTGAGCACACTGTTGGCGCCATAAATCCTGTATAATAATAATATATTTCTCTGCGACCCCCCCAGGATGACATCCGTTTGGAACACGTAATTGCGGCTTGGCCAGTCCAGCGGTGGAGCCCACGAACCTGGAAGGAAGACCGAGGGAAGATGGAAGCCCTGTCAGCGGTAATGGTGTGCCGCTGGGGAGGGGGCGCCTTTTATGGATGAGTGGTGCATAGTCGCACATTATGCCATTTACTTGCAGGGAGACTTTTTTCAGTTATAAAGACTTCATTACCACTTTAAAGCTGAATTGTCACTTAATTTGGTTAGAGGCGGAGTTGCCGAGAAGGCTTCCCTTGCGGCTCTGGCCCCAGCACCCCTGAAGGTGCTGACAGAGGAACATGGCGGCTCAAAGAAGCACGGGTGCCAATAGCTTGATAGTAGGTGAGTGCCACGGTCAGGGATGTAGTCAAGGTCATACAAGGTGAGACAACAGCATGGTCAGCAGGCAGGACAGGGTCAGCACCAGGGAAGCAGGCAGGACTGGGTCAGCTCCAGGGAAGCAGGCAGGACGGCGTCAGCTCCAGGGAAGCAGGCAGGACGGCGTCAGCTCCAGGGAAGCAGCAGGACGGCGTCAGCTCCAGGGAAGCAGGCAGGACGGCGTCAGCTCCAGGGAAGCAGGCAGGACGGCGTCAGCTCCAGGGAAGCAGGCAGGACGGCGTCAGCTCCAGGGAAGCAGGCAGGACGGCGTCAGCTCCAGGGAAGCAGGCAGGACGGCGTCAGCTCCAGGGAAGCAGGCAGGACGGCGTCAGCTCCAGGGAAACAGGAAGGACGGGGTCAGCGCCAGGGAAACAGGAAGGACGGCGTCAGCGCCAGGGAAACAGGAAGGACGGCGTCAGCGCCAGGGAAGCAGGCAGGACGACGTCAGCGCCAGGGAAGCAGGCAGGACGACGCCAGCGCCAGGGAAGCAGGCAGGACGACGCCAGCGCCAGGGAAGCAGGCAGGACGGGGTCAGCACCAGGGAAGCAGGCAGGACGGGGTCAGCACCAGGGAAGCAGGCAGGACGGGGTCAGCACCAGGGAAGCAGGCAGGACGGGGTCAGCACCAGGGAAGCAGGCAGGACGGGGTCAGCACCAGGGAAGCAGGCAGGACGGGGTCAGCACCAGGGAAGCAGGCAGGACGGCGTCAGCACCAGGGAAGCAGGCAGGACGGGGTCAGCACCAGGGAAGCAGGCAGGACGGGGTCAGCACCAGGGAAGCAGGCAGGACGGCGTCAGCACCAGGGAAGCAGGCAGGACGGGGTCAGCACCAGGGAAGCAGGCAGGACGGGGTCAGCACCAGGGAAGCAGGCAGGACGGGGTCAGCACCAGGGAAGCAGGCAGGACGGGGTCAGCACCAGGGAAGCAGGCAGGACGGCGTCAGCACCA